TTGTTGTAATTGTTGTTGTAATTGTTGTTGTTGTAATTGTTGTTGTAATTGTTGTTGTAATTGTTGTAATTGTTGTTGTTGTAATTGTTGTTGTAATTGTTGTTGTTGTAATTGTTGTTGTAATTGTTGTAATTGTTGTAATTGTTGTTGTTGTTGTTGTTGTAATTGTTGTTGTTGTTATTGTTGTTGTAATTGTTGTTGTTGTAATTGTTGTTGTTGTAATTGTTGTTGTTGTAATTGTTGTAATTGTTGTTGTAATTGTTGTTGTTGTAATTGTTGTTGTAATTGTTATTGTTGTTGTAATTGTTGTTGTTGTAATTGTTGTTGTTGTAATTGTTGTTGTTGTAATTGTTGTAATTGTTGTTGTAATTGTTGTTGTTGTTGTGATTGTTGTTGTAATTGTTGTAATTGTTGTTGTAATTGTTGTTGTTGTTGTTGTTGTAATTGTTATTGTTGTTGTAATTGTTGTTGTAATTGTTGTTGTAATTGTTGTTGTTGTAATTGTTGTAATTGTTGTTGTAATTGTTATTGTTGTTGTAATTGTTGTTGTTGTAATTGTTGTTGTAATTGTTATTGTTGTTGTAATTGTTGTTGTTGTAATTGTTGTTGTTGTAATTGTTGTAATTGTTGTTGTAATTGTGTTGTTGTAATTGTTGTTGTAATTGTTGTTGTAATTGTTGTTGTTGTAATTGTTGTTGTTGTAATTGGTGTTGTTGTAATTGTTGTTGTTGTTGTAATTGTTGTTGTTGTATTGGTTGTTGTGGTCAGTTGTTGTAATTGTTGTTGTAATTGTTGTGTTGTGGTAGTTGTTGTATTGTTGTTGTAATTTTTGTTGTAATTGTTGTTGTTGTAATTTTGTTGTAATTGTTGTTGTTGTAATTGTTGTTGTCAATTGTTGTTGTATTGTTTGTAACTTGTTGTTGTTACATTGTTGTTGTTGTAATTGTTGTTGTTGTAATTGTTGTTGTAATTGTTGTTGTAATTGTTGTAATTGTTGTAATTGTTGTTGTTGTAATTGTTGTTGTTGTAATTGTTGTTGTTGTAATTGTTGTTGTTGTAATTGTTGTTGTAATTGTTGTTGTTGTAGTTGTTGTTGTAATTGTTTGGTGTTGTAATTGTTGTTGTAATTGTTGGTTGTTGTAATTGTTTGTGTTATTGTTGTTGTAATTGTTGTTGTAATTGTTGTTGTTGTAATTGTAATTGTTGTTGTTATTGTTGTAATTGTTGTTGTAGTAATTGTTGTTGTAATTGTTGTTGTTGTAATTATTGTAATTGTTGTTGTAATTGTTGTTGTAATTGTTGTTGTAATTGTTGTTGTAATTGTTGTTGTTGTAATTGTTGTTGTAATTGTTGTAATTGTTGTTGTTGTAATTGTTGTTGTAATTGTTGTTGTAATTGTTGTTGTAATTGTTGTTGTTGTAATTGTTGTTGTAATTGTTGTTGTAATTGTTGTTGTAATTGTTGTTGTAATTGTTGTTGTAATTGTTGTTGTAATTGTTGTAATTGTGGTTGTTGTTGTAATTGTTGTTGTAATTGTTGTTGTTGTAATTGTTGTTGTTGTAATTGTTGTTGTAATTGTTGTAATTGTGGTTGTTGTTGTAATTGTTGTTGTAATTGTTGTTGTTGTAATTGTTGTTGTTGTAATTGTTGTTGTTGTAATTGTTGTAATTGTTGTTGTAATTGTTGTAATTGTTGTTGTTGTTGTGGTAGTTGTTGTTGTAATTGTTGTTGTTGTAATTGTTGTTGTTGTAATTGTTGTTGTTGTAATTGTTGTTGTAATTGTTGTTATTGTTGTTGTAATTGTTGTTGTTGTTGTAATTGTTGTTGTTGTAATTGTTGTTGTTGTAATTGTTGTTGTAATTGTGGTTGTTGTATTTGTTGTTGTAATTGTTGTAATTGTGGTTGTTGTTGTAATTGTTGTTGCAATTGTTGTAATTGTTGTTGTAATTGTTGTTGTAATTGTTGTAATTGTTGTTGTTGTAATTGTTGTTGTTGTAATTGTTGTTGTTGTAATTGTTGTTGTAGTTGTTGTTGTAATTGTTGTGATTGTTGTTGTTGTAATTGTTGTTGTAATTGTTGTTGTAATTGTTGTTGTAATTGTTGTTGTAATTGTTGTTGTTGTAATTGTTGTTGTAATTGTTGTTGTAGTTGTTGTTGTAATTGTTGTTGTAATTGTTGTTGTTATTGTTGTTGTAATTGTAATTGTTGTTGTAATTGTTGTTGTAATTGTTGTTGTAATTGTTGTTGTAATTGTTTTTGTTGTAGTTGTTGTTGTAATTGTTGTTGTTGTAATTGTTGTTGTAATTGTTGTTGTTGTAATTGTTGTTGTTATTGTTGTTGTAATTGTTCCTGTTGTAATTGTTGTTGTTGTAATTGTTGTTGTTGTAATTGTTGGTGTAATTGTTGTTGTTGATGTTGTTGTAGTTGTTGCAATTGTTGTTGTAATTGTTGTTGTAATTGTTGTTGTAATTGTTTTTGTTGTAATTGTTGTTGTAATTGTTGTTGTAATTGTTGTTGTAATTGTTGTTGTTGTAATTGTTGTTGTAATTGTTGTTGTAATTATTGTTGTAATTGTTGTTGTAATTGTTGTTGTAATTGTTGTTGTAATTGTTGTTGTTGTAATTGTTGTTGTAATTGTTGTTGTTGTAATTGTTGTTGTAATTGTTGTTGTAATTGTTGTTGTTATTGTTGTTGTTGTTGTTGTAATTGTTGTTGTAATTGTTGTTGTTGTAATTGTTGTTGTTGTAATTGTTGTTGTTGTTGTAATTTGTTTTGTATTGTTGTTGTAAGTGTTGTGTTGTATTGTTGTTGTAATTGTTGTTTGTCATTGTAATTGTTGTTGTAATTGTTGTTGGCAATTGTTGTTGTAATTGTGTTGTTGTGTAATTGTTGTTGTTCAATATGTTGTTGTAATTGTTGTTGTATTGTTGTTGTAATTGTGTTGTTGTTGTAATTGTTGTTGTATTTGTTTTTGTTGTAATTGTTGTTGTAATTGTTGTTGTTGTATTGTTGTTGTAATTGGTTGTTGTAATTGTTGTTGTTCATTGTTTTGTTGTTGTAATTGTTGTTGTTGTAATTGTTGTTGTAATTGTTGTTGTAATTGTTTGTTGTAATTGTTGTTGTAGTTGTTGTTGTAATTGTTGTTGTCAATTGTTGTTGTTGTAATTGTTGTTGTAATTGTTGTTTGTTGTAATTGTTGTTGTAATTGTTGTTGTAATTGTTGTTGTAATTGTTGTTGTAATTGGTGTTGTTGTAATTGTTGTTGTAATTGTTGTTGAATTGTTGTAATTGTTGTTGTATTGTGTGGTAATTGTTGTTGTAATTGTTGTTGTAAATTGTTGTTTGTAATTGTTGTTGTTGTTGTAATTGTTGTTGTAATTGGTGTTGTAATTGTTGTTGTAATTGTTGTTGTAATTGTTGTTGTTGTAATTGTTGTTGTAATTGTGTTGTTGTTGAATTGTTGTTGTAATTGTTGTTGTTGTAATTGTGTTGTAATTGTGTTGTTGTAATTGTTGTTGTAATGTTGTTGTAATTGTTGTTGTAATGTTGTTGTAATTGTTGTTGTAATTGTTGTTGTAATTGTTGTTGTTGTAATTGTTGTTGTAATTGTTGTTGTTGTAATTGTTGTTGTAATTGTTGTTGTTGTTGTAATTGTTGTTGTAATTGTTGTTGTAATTGTTGTTGTTATTGTTGTTGTTGTAATTGTTGTTGTAATTGTTGTTGTAATTGTTGTTGTAATTGTTGTTGTAATTGTTGTTGTTGTTGTAATTGTTGTTGTAATTGTTGTTGTTGTTGTTGTAATTGTTGTTGTTGTAATTGTTGTTGTTGTAATTGTTGTTGTTGTAATTGTTGTTGTAATTGTTGTTGTAATTGTTGTTGTAATTGTTGTTGTAATTGTTGTTGTAATTGTTGTTGTAATTGTTGTTGTTGTAATTGTTGTTGTAATTGTTGTTGTAATTGTTGTTGTAATTGTTGTTGTTGTTGTAATTGTTGTTGTTGTAATTGTTGTTGTAATTGTTGTTGTAATTGTTGTTGTAATTGTTGTTGTTGTTGTAATTGTTGTTGTAATTGTTGTTGTTGTAATTGTTGTTGGAATTGTTGTTGTTGTAATTGTTGTTGTAATTGTTGTTGTTGTAATTGTTGTTGTAATTGTTGTTGTTGTAATTGTTGTTGTAATTGTTGTTGTTGTAATTGTTGTTGTAATTGTTGTAATTGTTGTTGTAATTGTTGTTGTTGTAATTGTTGTTGTTGTTGTAATTGTTGTTGTAATTGTTGTTGTTGTAATTGTTGTTGTAATTGTTGTTGTAATTGTTGTTGTAATTGTTGTTGTAATTGTTGTTGTAATTGTTGTTGTTGTAATTGTTGTTGTAATTGTTGTTGTAATTGTTGTTGTAATTGTTGTTGTTGTAATTGTTGTTGTAATTGTTGTTGTTGTAATTGTTGTTGTAATTGTTGTTGTTGTAATTGTTGTTGTAATTGTTGTTGTTGTTGTAATTGTTGTTGTAATTGTTGTTGTAATTGTTGTTGTAATTGTTGTTGTTGTAATTGTTGTTGTAATTGTTGTTGTAATTGTTGTTGTAATTGTTGTTGTTGTAATTGTTGTTGTAATTGTTGTTGTTGTAATTGTTGTTGTAATTGTTGTTGTTGTAATTGTTGTTGTTGTAATTGTTGTTGTAATTGTTGTTGTTGTAATTGTTGTTGTAATTGTTGTTGTAATTGTTGTTGTAATTGTTGTTGTTGTAATTGTTGTTGTAATTGTTGTTGTAATTGTGGTAATTGTTGTTGTTGTAATTGTTGTTGTAATTGTTGTTGTTGTAATTGTTGTTGTAATTGTTGTTGTTGTAATTGTTGTTGTAATTTTTGTTGTAATTGTTGTTGTAATTGTTGTTGTTGTAATTGTTGTTGTAATTGTTGTTGTTGTAATTGTTGTTGTAATTGTTGTTGTTGTAATTGTTGTTGTTGTAATTGTTGTTGTAATTGTTGTTGTTGTTGTTGTGCAG